TAATCAAAAATTTTATTACGCTTCCGCATTTGAGATTTTTGATACATATATTCCATTTAAATTTCCGGGGCCGTTACATTAGATATAATATTATGTGCAATATTAAGCACCAATTAAAATATAAAAATTTTTCTATTATTTTCAAAACTCGTCAATTTATAAATTATATTTTTACCAAATATGCAAATTAATTAATACATTTTATGATTCCACTTTAATAAATTACATTAGTAATTTTCTTATAAAAAAACATATCAACTTAAAAATATGCGAAAAATATATATATCTTACTGCAATTTTTGACACTTAGTTATATGGCTAAATTTTAATAGTTATAATGGGTTTAGATAACAAAGAGATTATTATAGTTTGAAAATGTAGTAAAAAATATTAACATTATATATATAATTATTGGTACTTCAAATATGTCTTTATTTTCATTAAAAAGATTTATAGTTTTACTTCAATTCATAATATATTATTTGTATAAAAATTTATTTTTAATATAATGATTAAATATCAACGTAGCGTAAAACTTAAAGTTTCAATTACTCTTATATCAGTTTACCTAAAAAGTATACATAATTAAACTAATAACATAAATCTAAATTTTAATTATTGTATTTATGAAAAATAACTTTTTTTGTTGTAATCTTGATAGAACCGATATAATTTATAAAGTATATGTTTACCAAATATAATTTATAAATTTGTAGTATGAGTACTTTAATGGTTTATTTAAAAATTTTATATGAATTTATATGAACTTTGAGAGCTTGCAAACTCTATGATAAGCTTATAAGAAATATGATAAGTCCAATGTATAAGATATGAATAAAACATTTTACAAAATAATATTATTTGTAAAAAAATTTAATTAACAAAATCACAGAGTTAAAAGAAAATAAAAATAAATAATATTTTAAGTTGATAAATCATAAATTCAACCTACACATAAATTTATATGTAATGGATTGTGACTATTTTCATATATATGAATATGTATTTTCTAAAAAAGTATATATAACTGAAATAAACACACGAAAATTGATTATAATTAAAGAACAACATATGGTGGAATATTTAAATATATTTATCATAAATTGATGTATTCAATAATCATAATTGCAAGCATACATGTTGTAGTCATCAAACGATTAACTTTACCACCATTGATAAATATAAAGAAAAATATAATAAAATAAGATTAATATTATCTCATCTAATTATTATTATTAAAGATATCCATGGCCTTGATCCAAGTTATTGTAGCAAATAACCACATTTATGTTTGAATTTCGTTAAATGCATCACAACGACGTCTCACCTCTCCTCGACGTCCAGTCTTTATACCAACTCGACTGAGCTTCTCCATTGCACGTGCAAAATCATTAAAGAAGATTGTCTGATTGACAGCATATAATTGCACCAAAGATTTTGTTCGTATATCTTTAATGAGCATATGATCAGTTGCTAATAATCCCAATCCTCTGCCCAAGTTCTTAAAATACATATTGTCAAATTTGCCCGGCGTTATCACGTCGTTAAAAGCTGCAGTGGTTGGACTGGTGGTATAGTTGGCACACATAGCTTTTAAAGCTGCAGCAAATTTGGGATTGATTTCAGGATCGGTCGGTGTAGATTTGCTAAAGGCAAATAGTCTATCAGTAAATTCTTTGCAGTGAGAGAAGCCAATTGTGTGGCCACCGCTCAATGCTACCATTTCTTGAATCGTGAAACCCTTTGATGCAAATACTTCGATTAATTGATCCATAGTCATGTTAACATGAGGTATATTATTCCCAACGCGAGTGGAATGTGAGATAAACCCATCTTTACGACCAAGGAGGACATGGTAAAAGGGCCCACCCACCATGGTGATAAGATCACGAGTAGCTTGTGCAAGAATGTCTGAACACGAGACAACACTTGGACAAGAGAGCTCGAGGGCAGTCTTGGCACGAACAATAACGTCATAAGCATCACCTGGAAGAGAATGGTTGATATCAGCTTCACGTTCAGCATGGTTGAAAGGATTAGTAGCGACGAGGACGGAGGCATCACAACCTTCGACGAAGCAATCATGGAAAAATAAACGGAGGGTGCCAGCTGCGGTGGTGGGGCTTTGAACTTGCTTAGATGTTATAGTTTCTCTGATGATTTTTTGAAAGTCTGGGCATGAGTTCTTGTAATAATCAATTTTAAGGTGTGTTTTTGAGATAACAAAATCTAAAGAGATAAATGTGAATAAAATAAAAAAAAAGTGAAGATAAAAGGCCATGGATAAAGGAGAGTAATAAAAAAAAGAAGAGAAATTTCTTGCTATTCCCTTCTCAAAGAAGAAGAAAGCGAGAAAAAATTTTCTTTGAAAAAATGAAGAATGAGGAAACGGAGAAAAGAGAGGACTCATTCGTGGAGAGGAGAAGATATAGGAAAGCTAGAAAGATCGTTTGTGAGTATACTATTTTTGAAAATTACATTAGGATTCTATTTGATAACAATATTATATAATCAAGACAATTGCTTTATTTGGTTTATCATATATAATTACATTAATATTTTTGTTTGTTACCTGGTCAATTACAACAAATTTTTATTCATACAAATTTCAGTTAATTCTTTTTT